ATGTTTCCTGTCAGCTTGATTTTTGAGTGGACTTTGCTGTTCCGATGAGCATGAACGGTATATGAGTGGAGCACTCACATGGGCCGTGAGCGACTGACACACACGCACACACGCATAGAGCGGGATAACACGCAGAGCGTCACACCACGTGAAAGTGAATCCTGAGCGGGGAACTACAACCGGAATAAATGGATATTATATAATAGCTGCTTTTTTGAACATTTTAGCAATTTAAAAATATTTAAAAAACATTTTTTTTTACACGGCACCCCTGCTCTCGACAGACCGGTTGGGAAACACTGTTCTAAATAATGCCGCGAGTGGGGCTTGAGGAAGTGACATCGCCTGCATCTGCGCAGTGCGACCTGATGCAGCCCCTGAAGCGAGACACAGGAAACAGAAATACTGCAAAATAATAATAATAATAACGCGACTAAACGAGACTAAATAACGTTATAACATTTCGTTTTGTCTCGTTTTGGTCAACGAAAATGAAGAGACATTTTAGCATAGTTTTTATTTTGTAAACCACATTTAGTCTCGTTTTTATTGGTCAACGATATTGCATTGTACATTTAATTATCGTCATCGTCACATGACCAGCATTTTCGTCTCGTCTCGTTTTCGTCACGTGATAAAGGTTCGTTGACGACAATATTTAGTCATCATTTTTGTTGACGAAAGCAACACTACTGTTCACTTGTAAACGAAAAGTGTCCTGAACTCCATCTTTATCAACACTTTCAGCCTCAGTAAGTAGACTGCCATATTTTGCTCGGTGATGAGCCTGTGACTGACTGTTTTTGCGAACGGCTCAAAACGTCAGCTACAGTGTTCTTACTTCCAGCAATATGCTTAAGATCAAAAGTATAAGCAGCAAGCTTAGACACCCAGCGCTGTTCACAAGCATCGGGTTTAGCCTTTGTTAGTATATAAGTGAGTGGGTTATTGTCTGTCCATACAGTGAACGTGTGGCCTTTTAGCCAATGACTGAATTTTTCAGACACACTCCACTTTAAAGGCTAAAAACTCGAGCTTGTGTGCTGGATATCTCTTCTGAGAGTTACTTAAGGACTTGCTTGCGAATGCAATAGGGCACGCTTTTTCTTCGCCTGCTGGTATCTGCGATAGCACAGCACCAAGACCTTCAAGAGAAGCATCAATTGACAAAATTAATGGAAGAGAAAAATCGGGATGTGCCAGGACCACACTCTGCAGCAAGCTCTCTTTCAGTTTAGAAAGGGCATCATCACACTCTGGGGTCCAGTCAGTTGGCTTCAGCTTTCTGTACGTGCCTGCCTTAGCCTCAGTTTTGACCTTTATCCTCCTTTTCTGCCCAGCAGTTAGGGAGAAGAGTGGTTTGGCAATGGAGGAGCAATTAAGGATAAAGTGCTGGTAGTAGAGGATCATTCCCAAAACAGACTTAATCCTCCGTACAGATGGAGTGCACCCATCTTCTTCCATGAGGTCAGCTTTTGACAGTTTTGCTATGGCTTCAACCTTTGAAGGATCAATGGAAACACCATTCCCATCGATAATGTGGCCTAAAAACTTAATGGACGCTTGCATCAGATGGCACTTTTTTGGACTTAATTTGAAATTGTGGCTCCTCAATTGTTGGAATACTATCTCCAACCGCTCCAGAGCTGCAATCTCATCAGGTGCAAACACCAGTAGGTCATCTAAGTAACACAGCAGACTGCTCAAATTCAGGTCCCCGAAGATACTTAACATCATACGCATAAAAGATGCTGGGCTATTACACAACCCTTGAGGCATCCTATTGTACTCATGGAGACCTACTGGAGTTGTAAACGCGGTGTACTTTTTATCTTCTTCAGCCATGGGGATGTTATAAAAGCCTGATGTTAAATCCATAGCACTGAAGAGAGTATTTCCACCCAAGGCAACGAGACCATCCGATTGGTGTGGGAGCGGGTGCGCATCCTTAATGGTCCTGGCGTTCAGCCATCTGAAGTCCGTACAGATCCTTAAGCTGCCATCTTTCTTCCATACTAAAACCAAAGGCGAAGCATACTCGCTCACTGATTTACGGATTACTCCTTGCTCTTCCATTTCTGAGAGAACTTGGCGTAATTTTTGATAGTGAGCGGGTGGTACACGACGGTACGGAAGTCGGAAAGGACGCTCATCAGTTAAGTGGATGTGGTGAGCAAAACCTCTGACCTCCCCACAATCTAGAGCATGTTTGGAGAATACATCATTGTAGTTCTCAAGCAAGTGGACGAGCCTTTCCTTTGCTGTATCACTGGCAGAACATGAGTCGATATCAATGTCACTGAGGCTTACGGCCCTAAGTCTCTGTTTAAGATCACCTGTGACACCAGGTCGGGAAATTTCCTCGGATGTGGGCACCTGAGCATGACTGAAACCCTGCAACAGCTCAAAATCTTCCACGGCAAGGCACGGGAACACATCAGCTAACTTACAGTTCCTTTTGAGGGTGACCGGCTTGTCTGAAAAGTTGGTAACTTTTAAAGGAACCCAACGATCTCCACACAGAGGCGTAACAACACGGCCTATGATGATGTCCCGTGGCATGGTTCTGGAAGAAGTGGTTTCCACGATTACAGTGCTCCCTGATGACATTGCAGTATTACTCGGCAGCCTTCCCCAGACAAGGTGTTCTTGTTTGGCCATGAAAGTAACTGACTGCTGAAGCTTAACAGTACCAACCTTGTCTTGTGAATCTCCACCTCTCCAGCGGCAAGTATTCGCCATGACATTCAAGAATTGTTCACATGATGAAGGTGGCTCTGAAACACTTTTAGACAGAATCCTCCAGTAATCATCACTGATCTTCATTTGGTGCATGAGGAACTTAATCACATTGGTACCGATGATTAAATCATCCCTTTGTCCTGGTACAACTAGAACAGGCACCAAACATCTCTCACCATACACTTTGAGCTCAACTTCATACATGCATTTTGGCTTGGTTGTTTTACCTCCACATCCTATTAACATTATTTCTTGTGTCAATGGTGTAGGCTTTGGCAATACATCTTCACTGAGCATTCTACTCTCTACTTCTTCACTGAAAGTACATGCCACAGATCCTGAGTCCAACATTCCCTTCATCTGGAATCTGTCATTCACATATACAGGTGCATAAAACAACTCAAACACTTCAAGAGTTTGTGTATTCTGTGCGATCATTTTAATATCAGCTGGAGCTTGCACAATTGCACTTTCATAAACTTGCTTAATATCTGCATTTTCGAGGGTTTGTTCCACTCTACCCACACGTCCCCTCTCCAAGTGTGGGCAGACTATTTTAAAGTTGGTGAACCCTGAGGTGGCTGTGCAAACTGGTTGCCAGTGCTGGGTTGACTATCTACACAATTCCTCTTTATGTGACCATGTTGGAAACAGGCAAGGCAGAGTCGTTGTCATCGACAGTGTGCTAAAGTTGAATGCTCATGAGAACGGCATACCTTATATGCTCTCATAGGTGATTGGCTTGGTCGAGGACACCTCATCTCCGCTTGACTATTCTGGGAAAGAGCATGGTCAAGTAGACTGATAAGCGTCTTCATGCAATTATCATCATTCTGTGGAGGAGATGGAGTACTAGCATTAACATTATCAGACGGCACAACAGGGAAACCACTAGCTGCGATCTCATTCTCTGTAGGTGACTGAGTATGAGCTGTAGCATTCCTCATAGCAATGTTACGCTTAAATTTGACCGCCAACTGTTCCTTTTGCTCAGTCTGATATCTGTCGAGATGCTCTTGTACTTCACTCGCTGTCCACTTATCTGGTGCTTTCAAGCGGAAAATGGCCAACAAAGTTGGGTCCGGGCAGTATTTGACAAACATCATGGCTGCCTCCTGACATGGGTTATCCATCTGTCATCCAAGCCTATTTGAAGCCTCCTCCGCTACATCCACAGCCTTATTTAAACGGACCCAGTACTCGACTGGATTTTCTCCCGCAGCAGGTACTGTGCCGTAGAAATCAGCTAAAGGCATAAAGGAAAATCTGACCTTGCTGAAATGCTGTTTCAGAATGTCAAATATCACTCTGGGGTTCTCAGAGGGTCTTAGGGAAGTGTTACTGCGAAGGGTTATTCTAACAATGTCTTTGGCTTTACCCATCAGCCTTGAGAGGATTTTATGATGATGCTCCAACACTGGTATGCCTCTTTTCCGCAGGTAAGTGTCCACTAAATCCTCCCACTCATGCACACTGAACTTATCAGTTCCATCTCCTCGGAAAACAGGGGGCTCTCTTACTTCAGACTGCATGACCAGTTTAACTCCTGTCAAATTAAGTGAGGGTGCCTCTGAGAATGACTAACCTGCACCTAAACTTCGAGTCTGTGCATTGCTGGTTTTTCTTTCCCCACACCTTTCCCCACTTTGAGCAGAAATTATAGTCTGTTCTACTTCCTGAGCAATATGTGTTATGAGGTTATACCATGCTGCATCATTTAAGTCTGGGCTGACTGATAATGGATTACTCCTTAACTGACTAGGTGTTTGTTCAGTTACGCGAGTAGAACAGAATTCAGGCATTCGTCCTACATTACCCCTCCCTGCAAAATGTGTAAATGAACGATCACTGAGGAGTCTCTCTCTCGCAAAACTCGAATCTGACATGTCCCCATCAACATTAAAATTCTCTGCATTGAAACCATATGCCATCATCCCTCTTTAATGCAAAGGTTATCAAACTTTGAGTAAAATTTTTAAATGACAAAACTCGTTAAGCACCAGCACAGCAAAATCATTACGGAAACTAGAGGAAGAAGAATAAACGTAGTAGTGTGAATTGTGTACTTTGTGTTACTGTTCATCGAAACCTTGACTGAAGTGCAGCATCCACTGGTGGTCAAACGGCATTGATCCTTGGATGAAGATCCGAGGCGAACTGATCTTCATCCGGGTCACGGCATCACTGTAACCGCCCCCCCCACCCCCACTGTCACTTTCACGGTCTGCGTAGTGTTATAAATGAAGAGACGGATCACAGGAACTGCTGCTGATGGAGGGTTTATTAACATGGAGCATGCAGATGCTGGATAGAGTAGAGAGAGAATACAACAATGAGAAATGTTTTCGTTCTGTGATTTTCTTCCCACCTCTCCTCAGCGTGCTCAACGCGGTCTCAGTGAACATCACAATGATATCAAAAATATCATATCAAAAATATCATATCAAAAATACGGTGCAAGATAAATGGTTACAAGCATTTATCCAAATATATGATATAATCTTCCGCAGCATATTTTAAATCAACCATGCATTAGAATAGATGAATTGAACAAAGTGATACAACATGAATAGAAAATAAAATTAGCAATAAACTATACCTGGATGGAGTAGAGAGAGAGTACAACAATGAGAAATGTTTTCGTTCTGTGATTTTCTTCCCACCTGGACAGATTAAACACCAATTAATCAATTAGCAAAAATCACGTGTTCTGCTGATGCACATACATACAGGTGCATCTCAATAAATTAGAATGTCGTGGAAAAGTTAATTTATTTCAGTAATTCAACTCAAATTGTGAAACTTGTGTATTAAATAAATTATATGCACACAGACTGAAGTAGTTTAAGTCTTTGGTTCTTTTAATTGTGATGATTTTGACTCACATTTCACAAAAACCCACCAATTCACTATCTCAACAAATTAGAATACTTCATAAGACCAATAAAAAAAACATTTTTAGTGAATTGTTGGCCTTCTGGAAAGTATGTTCATTTACTGTACATGTACTCAATACTTGGTTGGGCCTCCTTTTGCATGAATTACTGCATCAGTGCGGCGTGGCATGGAGACAATCAGCCTGTGGCACTGCTCAGGTGTAATGGAAGCCCAGGTTGCTTTGATAGCGGCCTTCAGGTCATCTGCATTGTTGGGTCTAGTGTCTCTCATCTTCCTCTTGACAATACCCCATAGATTCTCTATGGGGTTCAGGTCAGGCGAGTTTGC